TACTCGAGATATGGCAAAATTTCTATCCTTAATATATAACAATAAACACATCAAAACATTTGAAATCAAGAATTGAACTAAATTTAGAGATGCAGTCTCTTGTCCTTACTTTTTAAAAAAGTATAATTATGTGTGTATGCATGGTATTTGTGTAGACACAGTGCCACAACAAGCAGGTGGAAGTCAGAAGACAGCTTTACAGGGCCAGTTTTCCTTCCACTTTTACACAGTTCCAAGGATGGAATTCAGGTCTCTAGACCTGTGCAGCTAGCAGTTAAACCCACTGAGCTATTTTGGAGACTCCTTAACAGTTGAAGTGTCAAAACTGCCATTTAGGTATTCAGATGAAAATTCATGAATAAAATAGTCACACAGTACAGAAAAATTTGACTAAAGTCATGCTAAATCAGAGGCTAATAAAACTTCAGATGTGAATTGTAGATAAACATATATAATAAATTGCCTGAAAACTGAAACCCTAATTAAAAACATTCTGTAGAAGGGAACTGATAAAAGCAAGCTAGGTTCATACTTTCTAATGGTCTTACAAGCTGCAACTAACCATCAATGTTCTCTGCCTACTGTAACACCAGTGTTTTCAGTTTTGAAAGGCTGAGTTTAGGTGTACAGTAAGCAGAAGTAAAAGAACAAACAGCATGGTAGAAGCAGTTAAGAGCAGAACATCTACAAATCAGGACTTTACAATATCCAGACATAATTGGGGTAACCCAACTGACTAGCTTAGTCACTGTTCCATTGTTGTGAACAGACATCAGGACCAAGCCAACTATTGTAAAAGAAAACATTTAATTGGGGGCTTGCTTACAATCTCATAGGATTAATCCATTATGATCATGCAGGGAACATGGCGGCACACAGACAGACATGGTGCTAGAGAAATAGCTGAGAGTTCTACATCTTGATCCTAGGCTAAAATGGGCTTTTGAAACCACAAAGTCCACCTCCAGTGACATACTTCCTCCAACATGGTCACACCTCCCAATCCTTCTAAACCTTTCAAACAGTGCCACTCCCTAGTGACTAAGCATTTAAATATGTGAGCCATTCTTCTTCAAACTGCCACAGAGACAAAGGTATTATCCTCAAATCAGGGTCTTAACAACCATGTATCGGAAACCCACTGAGCAGTTCTGGCTGTCAGCCAGAGTTCCCTGCAGAACTTTTCCTCCATGGATTACCTTCTCCTTCTCTTTCCACCATGGGCATTTTAATACTATAAGATAAAAGCAATTGTAACTGGCTGTTTCCAAGAATTCTTGTTTCTCTTGATGACACAGTGTTTTTAATCTTGGGCTGTTATTAAGTTCTTCTCTTTCCCTACTAAGGTGCCAGGAGCCAACTTGTCCCCTGGAGAAGAGGTCTTGGAGGACACTTGGAGACAAACATGCTTGCATCTGAAATGGGGAAGGAGAAGGCTAACACCATATGCAAAGCTAGCTTCTTAAAGAACATAGACCATGCATTTTACCAATACAGTGTACAATCAGTTATTTACAAATAATCACATGATATTCTAACTGCCAGAAGACTATATCAAAATTCATATAAAGTTCTTCAATGATTCAACTGCTAGAAGAAAACAGGAAGAAATATAGTAAGAAAGGTAACCATTTGGAAGGAATATGTTTTCAATATATACAAAGAAGCTAAAAACTTTATAATAGAGGTCAGCTGCCTATTACAGTCTCTACTCTCAGTTTCAGTGATAAATCTTGATACATAATCTAAATCTCTACAACCAAGCTCTACATATCTGCAAACTTCATTCCTGAGCTAAAACTTGAATTGTTAAGGGCCAAAAAGAGGACTATGAATATCGTGTGAATTATTAAAGAGGAGGGGAAAAAGCTTTTATTAAAATAAAAACCAATGATGTATATTTTTGAAAGATTAAAAATGGGATCATAATATATCAGAATGGGGTGAGTTCCAATTATATACTTAGAAAGATACTGCAATTTTCAGAAGTGGCAAGGTTTAGTTGCCACAAATATTCACCTGAAAAAGCAGCTAGAAAGACACCCACCTTCCTGAAGTCCCCACTTTTACCCAAGCAGCCTGCCTTGAGCGCTGCGCCTGCTGATATTTGTAGAAGTAGTTATTCAGTCTCCAAAACCTGCCAAGATGTTCACAAACTCTACTGTGGCCTTGTGAAGCATCCAGAACACTCGATGGAGCACATTAGCCTCTCTGTCTCCAAGAAGTAACTAGATGCCTCCTCCTGCCCTACCTCTAATACCCAAAGGACCAAGAAATTGGACACTCTTCTCTGAGAATCTTGGCCACAAGGCATGCAAAGGTACCCAACAAGCCATTAGGCATCCATCAGTGCAGGATAGTCCCCACCTGTCTCTCAAGCCATGAGAGGAACACTCTGTCATTGCTACTAGCCTGCTTCACCCTGCTATTGTGATCTAGCTCCTATATAGTCCTCAAAAACTGACAAAAATCCTGCCTCCTCTGTGACAACAGATGAGTCTTGCTTACCTAGTTCTACTCAATAGATCTAATGGGTAAACAATGGATGTGATGTCTTCCAGGTAGACAAGAAGCACTAAGATACTCCAATGAACCCCCTTCATCTGAAAAAGCTACATCCTAGGTAGCAGGGCAATCTCACAAACCTCTGCAGTATAGAGGCAGACATCTAGGGGCATTACCAACTTTGATTATAGCTGAAGAATCTACATACACACCTATTAGGATCTAAACCTAGTGTGACTGATACCTAATACCCTACATAAGGCATTTCAAAGAAAGTCTTCTACTGCAAAGCCACTTGTAAAATTGTAGAATTGCAAGGAGAATTGCAAGGCCTCCCTGAGAGGCCACTGCAAAAACCTGTGAAGCCAAAGTTGCCTTGGAGACTCTGAGATCTCATAGATGCCAGTAAGTCAGAAAGACAGGAAAACATGCGTACATGAGAATGAAACTCTCATCCTGATGACTGGTTGAAGACTCCCACCAGCAGCAAAATAGAACTGATACAGCATAATTAGCAGCTCTGTAGACCATTCATCTTTCTAGCCAATAAACCTATGATTTTCTAGTAACCTCCCTGCAAAGTCTATTTACAGGGAAAGGACATGTAACAGACCTTTTGATTTAGTGGTCCTTTACTTTACCTTAACATTATAATTCTGCCAGTGCCGGCTAGTCTTTTGTCAATTTGATACAAATTAATAACCTAGGAAGAGGAGCTTCAGTTAAGAAAGTGTCCTCATTCTCACTGGCCAGTTTGTCAAGCATTTTCTTGATTAATGATTGGTTTAGGAGGCCCAGCCCACTGTGGGCAGTGATGTCTCTTGGCTGGTGGTCCTGGGTTGTATAAGAAAACAGGCTGAGTAAGCCATGGGGACCAAATGAGTCAGCACCATTTCTCTATGCTCTCTGCTTCAGTTCCTACCCAGACTTCTCAGTGACATATAAGATGAAATAAACCCTTTGCTCCCCAAGTTGCTTCCAGTCCTTATAACAACAATAGAAAGCAAACTAAGATACCATCTAAGACATCTTTAGAGTCACCTATAGAGAAAGGGGAAAACGTTTCTCATAAACTTTTTGACACATAACTTGAGAACCACCAAAATTGTGTATGTGGCTAAATGCCAAGGTAATTAATTCCAATTCTCCCTTGAGAAGCCCTTCTCTACACTTGGATATGTCCTTCTCTGTGACTCTCTCATGATGAACCCCTATCCACATTTTAGTATGTCTGCAACACTCCCTTCAGCAGCGTTACCTACAGCTGACTTATGATTCTTTGTGACTCCCTCATGTGCTCCTACATTTGCATATGTCTTCCTTCTGCCTCTGCTTCTGCACCACCCTCCCACTCCCCATCCCCAGAGAGGCCCATGTCCATGGGTGTGTCTTCTTGCTTTTCTCCTTACCTTCATGCTTAAAGTCTGTGTTAAATTGCCTTTAACAATATCCAACTGTTGCTTTAAACTACTAAGGCCTGAAATTCTTTCCTTCATCAATGCCATGAATTTGAGTTTAGTCTTACTTGACTAAAGTCCCTAAAAAAAATAGTCCTATGTTTCTGCGGGTAACAATAAGGAACTATGTTTCTGTCCCCAAGCCAGGACCATGGGACATCCCCTGAGAAAAACTACCAGAAAAGAGAAGAGTCTGCCCAGGAGAAGAGGTGATATGTGTTAGTCACAACAGAACAGGAAGAGAAGAGATGCCAAAGCCCCTCAGAGTCAAGGTGAATCCAATACAAATGATAGATGATAGACAAAACTTGGTATTTTCCCTCCTTAGGGTGTGCTTCAATCAGGATATTAATACAAACATGCAATAAAGAATTATTGTGCAAAGACAATGTCCATGGAAATATAACAATATAAAGTGCCCAATTTCCAACACAAATGCAGTTCCAAAAGAGTAAATTAGAGATACAAATTAACTGAGATATTATTTTAACAAATAAATGTCTACACATTTCTTTATAGCCTTGTAAATTCTGGTGAAATGAATCTCATCAAAATGCAAACATTCAAGGAATCAGTCTGTAAAATGGATAATACTTAAGTTTGGTATTTTTCTACTTTGATTCTTGATGCATTTGATTTAATAAGTTTCTAGTCTGCTAACTTCAATAGTTTGTGTAATATTAAAACATAATTCTACTTTCTTTAGCATCCTATTTTCTATGAGGTAATGAGTAAATTTAGTAGTTACAAATTTCACTCTTTAGTAGGAAAGCCAAGATAAACAACAGAGGTCATTGTTTACAAATTAAAAGAAACAAACAAAAAAACTCCAACCAACTAAAAACAAATCAGGGGTCAGTGAGATGGTCGGGTGGACAAAGGCACTTGCTGTGCAAGCCTGTCAATCTGTGCTCAGTCCCAGAAATCCATGAAGGTGAAAGGGAAAAAGCAGACTCCACACAGTTGTAGTCTGACCTCCACAGAACACTGGGGCAAGTGCAACTCTACCTCCAACATGTCACACTTAAAGACACACACCTTGGGCTGGAGAGGGTGGTTCAGCTGTTAGCATATACTGCTCTTGCAGATGATCCAAGTGTCACTCCTAGTATCACATCCAAGGATCATAACTACAGAAAACACCAGCTCTAGGGTAACAGAACATATCTGGTCAGCAAGGACACCTGCACCTACATGCACATACCCACACAGACAGACAGACAGACAGACAGACAGACAGACAGACAAGACAGACAGACAGACAGACAGACAGACACACACACACACACACACACACACACACACACACACAAAATTATAAAAAATAAATCTATAAAAAAATGATAAAAGAAAAAAAGGAAGTCCTTCCACTCCTCCCAAATGCTATCCCAGTCTGAGCTGGGAGCCTGCTCCAACCAAACCACCACACATGATCCAGGCTGAGGAGGACCTAGACAGGAAGGCCCACATCCTGACTGCCTATGACCTCTCCCCACCTAGGAAGCCTGCTCTAGCAGAAGCACCACATAAAAGAACTGGGCAGCACAGAAGAGGTAAGATAATCACTATACTTGTGACCCTCCTCCTGCCCCAAGAACCTGCTCCAGTTGAATCACCAAATGTGGCCAAACCTAGTAAAGAACTAGGCAGGCAACCCTTTACCCTCACCCCTGTGACCTCTCATCTGCCCTACAGTCCCCTCCTACCCAAGGACTACATAAGACAAGGCCTAAGCATGGATCTGCAAGGCATTCCTTCCACTCTAGCTTCCTCTCCTAACTCTTGAGCCTCTTCAGTTGATGCTCCACAAGAAGCCCAGGAAGGACCCAGTAAGGCAGTACCCTTACCCAGTCCAGGCTCCCCCTCCTATTCCAGCCTCTTATCTCAAGGTCTGACTCAGTGGGATAAATACAAAGAGCAAAAGACACAACTGACAATGATACTTCAGATGCATGACTCATCAGAAAAACACAAGCAACATAAAAAACCAAAAAAGTATACTCCCCCTCAAAAAACCCCCACCAATATCATAGTAATGGTTCCCAAAGAAGATAACTTAGATAAAATCAAACACATAGAATTTAAAAGAACAATTACAAACAGTTCAAAGAATTTAAATAGGATAATAACATCTGATCAAATTAAGAGAGCACAGGAGAAGACTAACCGAAGTCCAAGAAAATACAAATAGGTGAATGAAATAAGGAAGACAATTTAGGATACGAAAACTCAATTCAACAGATAAGAGAATTACTGAAAAAAAAAAAGAAAAATTTCAATTAGTCAAAAAGTTCAGTGGAAAGCATGAATGAAGTGACAGAATGATCCAAGAGCTCAATCATTCATTCATTCACAGAAAATTATCAAAATGTTTAGATCCATGAATGGAGCATGCTGTGGGACACCATGAAAAGATCAAATCTACAATTTTGGGCACAAAAAGAGAAAAACTGGAAGACAACGGCATAGAAAATATTTTCAATAAAATCATAAATAAATAAATAGAAAATTCTTAACTCTAGGAAAAAGAGATGCCTTACAAGCCAAGAGGCATCACAGAGAAGCAGAAAAGAGATTCCTCACGACATAACATATTATGACACTAAAAACACAAAATGAAGAAAAGGCACTGAAAGCTGCAGGATGTAGCAGCCAGAGCGCTAGAAGAAATATATTCCAAGTTCTGAAAGACCACAACTACCAACCTAGAATATTATACTCAGCAAGGCTGTCTTTTATAAGTGACATAGGAATAAAAACTTTCCATGATAAAAATGAACTAAAAGAATTTTTAACCACTAAGCCAGTTCCACAGAGGAAACAAGAAGGTGTATGTCAGACAAAAGAAGGATACAAAGACAAATAAACAATATCAGGGCAGGTAATCAAATAACGGCTAGGAAAATATATCAGTATGACATAAACACACATCTTCAAAAACAACTAAATATTAATGGCCTCAATTCCTTCCTAAAAAGGCACAGACTAATAGACTGTATTAAAAAAAACAAGATCATACTTTTGTAGATCTAAGAAACACATCTCTCCTCCAATGATAGAGACTACCTTGGAATAAAATGACAGGAAAAAGGAATTCTAAGCTAATGGAATTCAGAATACAAAGGAAACTTAACAAATATAGGAAAAGCGAAATAGCATCCTTAGTTAATAAGTCAATAATCAAAAGCTAGGGAACATGTGCAAAGTATAAAAACATTGAGGTATTAAGCAACACACTACTAAATGATAAATTAGTCACTAAAAAAATAAAGGAAGAAATTTTTTTAGAAAATTTTAAATGAAATAAACTTGAAAATATGATATTCCAAAACCTATGCAACACAGTAAGTACAGTTCTAAACAGAACGTTTGTAACCTGAAATACCTACATGAAAAATGAGCACTGTCAAATAAATAACTTAATGATGCACTGTAAAGCCTTGAAAGAAAAAAATAAGAACAGGCCAAACCCAAAAGCAATAGATGGGAAGGAATAATTAGGATCAGAGCAGAAATTAATGAAAGGACTCAAGCAGACTCAATGAAAGGAGCTGAGTGTGGTGGTAAGAGCCTTTAATCCCTGCAGTTGAGGGGTAGAGGCATTCGATCTCTGTGTATTCAAGCTAATATGGTGTACACAGTGAATTGCAGGCCAGTCAGGAATACACATTGAGACCCTAAGCAGAGAGTGGGGGAAATCAGTGAGAGGAAAAGCAGATTCATTCAAAAGATGGCAAAACGCACAATCCTTTTGTTTAACAGAAAGAAAATAATCCAGTAAGAAAACTGACAGTACAAAGGGATACATCATAACAAATGCCAATAAAATTTAAAAAATAGGGAAATACCTTAAATTTTTGTATTCCTCTAAATCAAGAGATCTAAAAGAAATGAATTTCTATATGCATATGAATCAACAAAATTAAACCAAGATGAAATAAATAATTTAGATCTATAATTAGATAATTTACATACATAACCATTGAGTTTGAAGCATTAAACCATCTCAAAAGTGGGGAGAAAAACAAAACAGAATCTGATTAATTCATTGCAGAATTCAATCAGACTTTCAAAGAACACAAATACTATTTGTTGGGATTAAAACACCAGGCTGACTTCAGCCCTGGCAACAGGTGGGACATCCACAGTGACATGACACATCATTGTCAGGTCACTAGTTACACAGTAGGAACCTGTGTGAGGACTGCACATGCAGAGCTCCCCCTTTTAGGCCTGACAAACATACTAAAAAAGAAACCAGTGAAAGAATCTCATTTACAGTAGCCACCAAAAAGTAAAATGCATGGGAACAAACCGAACTACAGTAAGGAAAAACCTTTATAATGAAACTGTTAAGATACAGAAGAAATACATTGAGAAAGAGACTAGAACATGGTCAGGTTTTCCATGCTCATGGCCTGGAAGAACTAATATTATGAAAATCAGCATCTTACCAAAGATAACCTGCAGATTAAATGCAATCACAATCAAGATTTCAAAGACAGCCTTCACAGACAGTGAAAACAACATCTTAAAATATATAGGGAAGCACAAAAGACCAAGGAGAATCAAAGCAATACTGATACAAGGGATATCACCATTCCTGAGTTCAAGTTATTCTACAGAGCCACAGTAATAAAAATAAAATGGTATAGGCACAAATGCAGACACATAAAGCATTTCAGTACAATAGAGGACCACACAAAGAAGTTCCCACAACTAAAGCTACCTGATTTTTCACTAAAAGCCAAAAAATCTATATTAGACAAAAGAAAGTGTCTTCAGCAAGTGATGATTGGAAAACCTAGACATTGCCAAGTAGAAGAATGAAACTAGATCCCTATATTTACCCTGCATAAAACTAAATTCAAATCTATAAAAGACTTCAGTGTAAGACCTGATATCCCAACACTTCTAGATGAAAAAGTAACAAGTACACCTCAATATGTAAGTAAGGGTTTTCAAAATAGCATAGGAATATAAGACCAACAGTGGTCAGATGGGCTCTCATGAAATTAAAAGGCTTTCTGTATAACAAAACAAACAGTTAATTGAGTGAAGAGAAATAGTAACTAGAATATACAAGGAACTTAAAAAACTAAACTCTAGCCAGGTGGTGGTAGTGTATGCCTTTAATCCTGTCATTCCAGAGCCAGAGGCAGGTAGATCTCTGAGTTCAAGGCCAACCTGGTCCATAGACCATGTTCCAGGATAGCCAGTGCTACACAGAGAAACCCTGTCTCAAAAACAAACAAACAAACAAACAAACAAGCAAACAAAAAACCTAAATGCCAAAAATCAACCCAATTAAAATATAGGCTATGGAACCAAAACAAGAATAGAGCTCTCAAAAGAATTACAAATGTCTAAGAAACCCTTTTAAAAGTCATAAACAGACGGGCATTGGTGGCACAAGCCTTTAATCCCAGCACTTGGGAGGCAGAGACAGGTGGATCTCTGTGAATTCGAGACCAGCCTGGTCTACAACAGCTAGTTCTAGGACAGCCTCCAAAGCCACAGAGAAACCCTGTCTCGAAAAACCAAAAAGATAAAAAGAAAAAAAAAGTTATAAACATCCCTGAATATCAGGGAAATGCAGATTAAAACTACTCTGAGATTCCATTTCACACCAGTCAAAATGGCCATCATCAAGATCACAAATGACAAAAAAAAAAAAAAAAATGCTACCACCAATGTTAATAAAGGGGACTGTTATAAATTGATAGTGGGGTATAAACTAATGCAGCCACTTTGGAAATAAGACTGAAGGATTCTCAAAAACCTAAAAATAAACCTACCATCTGGGCATGTACCCAGAGGAATTTATACACACTACAAAGATACTTGCACATCCATGTGCACCTCAATACCTAGAAAACGAACAAAAATCGTTTAAAAATCAATAGTATGAGTTCGTTTGACAACTGAGGCTCCCAGGCACTAAGAAACAGCCTTTGGTTAAATAGCTTGCAATTGTCAGAACAGGTCCTCCACCCTTTGCCTTTCTTGTATACCACAGCACAAATTCAAAATACAATGTAAACATAAGCCCAACACCAACTGAAATGATGCTCAAAGTTGGGTCCACTTTCATAAAACAAATGAAAAATATAGTGACATCAACCCTGGGAAACAACGATATATAGAATTGTCAGTTGACCCTTTTGGGGTCTGAACACTTACCAGCCCTTAACAAAGCAGGTGAAGAGAAGGCTGCATCAGGTGAGTGGGCCATTTCAACTTGACTCTTATCATAAGCGTTGCAGGCTAAACTACACCGATTTTAAAACTGTTTAGTAAAGGTTAGAAGCAATCAGCATTAGATTAATTGAAAGCAGTATGAGCAGTTATTAGCATGATGCAATGTGCAAAAGACAATTGAAGATCATTAAATAATTTTAGTTCACCTTTTATGACTTGAGAATTTGATTTCCTTTATTTGTAAATTAAGTTTGCTTACATGAATAGACAGAAATATAATATCCACTTACAAAGAAACATTTCATGAGTAGCACCATTTATTGTAAAGTTGTTGTGATACTATGTAACAATGGTTAGAACTCCAAAGAGTAGTCTATCCCAGAAACAGGTTAATTCATGTTTCAAACAAGACTGTTTATATATTCTCCTAAAAGTTGTAAACAGAATCAAAATAATTCTTTGTAATAATTAGCAGGAAGTAAATAATGTAGTTCAAGAGGATTTACTGTCTATATTTCTCAGAGTCTGAAAATTAGAAACTGCAAAGGTAACTACTAATTTTAAAGATGTGCCTCAATTTTTTGTTTACTTCTATCTAAATTTTACTCATTAGGTAAACATTCAGGAACATTTCAAATTGATACTATCTAGGTAACTACTGTGCATGGGACTGGTTTAAGAAACTGCATTAAACAGCAAAATAAAACAAAATTTACCTTACTAAGAAAAGTAAGATTTTTAACATTTACTGCTGTGACATGCATTTAAGTAAAACAAAGACTTGAAGAAAAAACAGACTCTATATGCTTATTAAAAAGAATTATGTTGCAAAAATATGTTGGGGGGCATTGTTCAACTCCCTGGAAGACTAGTTATTCTCTTTGCCCAAAAGGAACAAGTTAGTAACACTTTTATACTCCCACAGACATACTCTGAATAACCAAGTCAATATTTCTATATGACATAGAAAATTTTAAGAGAAAGTAGGAAACAAATATCCCATGACTGTTTCAAATAATTGTACTGACACTGAACTGGAGTCAACTACTTTTTTAAACTCTCTCAACTTCTCGTGTGATTGTTCCATGACAGCCCTAAGTAAATAAACACAAGGATTTTAAGATTTAAAACAAAATGAAATTGGTACTTTCTACGATCTTTCCTCCCTCTTTTACAAGGGAAAGGCCCTTGATTGAAGATTTGTCATTCCATCACCTCTCCAGTTTAGGGACACCGTTTTTCCCTCAAGATTATGTATCCAGTTTTAATAGGAGCAGTTTCAGTCTTGGCTCTCTGAGGGGTTATTAACCAGGAGTACTAACTTTTACATCATCAGTGGCTTTGCAATTTGAACAAGTCAGTTCAGGACACTTGGACTGTTGGCATCTTCTGACCTCCATCGTTGGAAACCACAACTGGAAACTACAGGTGATGGGATCCCCTGGCTATGGAAGAGGCCAATTCCAGTCTGAACCCTAACTGTACACTAACTCTGCGGCCCAGACCCCGTCTTCCTCAATTTCTGACACACAGAACTTGCTGCGGCTCAAACTTATTGAGGAATGTGAAGGGGACATATGAAATAAGACAAGAGTAGTCGCCAGTTCTTTAGGACCTCACTAAAAATGAAGACCTAATTTTTCAGAAGAGAGGTGGTAGGCACCCTTCTGGTTCCAAGAACTTGTCACTGCCTGGCTTCTAGGGGCAACTTTGCTGGAGAAGTCAGCTTGCCGCTAATTTAGGAGAGGAAATAACTTGGGGAGGAAGAAACACGGAAGTTTTCTAAATGCTGGAAGTGCAGAGCCTGGGGTGTGGAGGGCAGAGGTAACAAGATCCAGGCACAGCCAGGGCCACCTACTGCTTTCTGAAGACAACATAGGGACACAAGTTGATCCCTCAGATCGATCCCATCCGCCTCCCTCCAGGGGACTTGAGGAAGAGCACCACCCACTGTACCCGGAAGGGGCAAAGTTGTTGTCACAAGCAGCCAAACCTGAGCGCTTGGCCCGGGCTCGTCGCTCCAAGACCTTCCAGCTTACTTCGGCCATGAGTCCCTCCGCCCCCGCCATCGCGCAGTGC